TTCCGACTTTAAAAAAAACAAAGAAATATACGTCGGAATCTTCTGGGGAGCGAACGGACAGACAGAGTCAAAGGTACTTAAAAATATCCCACAAAATTCCAAAAATTCTTTCGATACGTGAATAAGACGAAACGCAACCAGGACTGCATTTCCTGTCCAAAAGAACGCCGATGGAAATACGTTGTCTGATAATTCAGACAAGGCGAACCTCTTGTCCGGTTTCTTCGCGTCTTCGCATACCGAAGAGCCGGCTTTTGGTGAAAGAGTTTATCGCCCAATTGCCCAAATTTAGCAGTACGTCGACATTTACGCATGACGCACAGGTAAAATTTTGAGATCCTCGTGGAGATGCATCTCCCTCCCGCACGTTAGAAAGGACGCAGTGTGTTGTGTGGCCACGTTTACCGCGGATCCGTAGACCAACAGGCAGGTTGGTATGACTTCATGCCAGTTAGACGTCGCGTATCTGTCGATAAAGATTCTTAATAGATTAGTCAGTGTCCGATTGGTTTTCTCGACCTGACCTGTGGCGGAGACCACATGCAATAAGAATTTGACATGCGGCCGTAAAAAAAGCATACCTCGAGGGCTAAGGGGTAAGACCGGTCTGCTGGAGACTGTCAAACAGCTCAGGTGTTAGTAAGATGACTGTTTAAGTCCCCCTAGAACAATGATGACGTCCATATAAACTAAACACGAGTTAGGAATTAGCCGAACTAGGACTTCATGCATTATCCGGTGAAAGTTGTTAGGCGTGTCCGCTAACCCAAATGGCATTGTCTCAAACTCACAGGGACCCGACGCGACTTTAGATGCAGTCTTCGCACACATCTACCTGCAAGTAACCTGATGCTAGTCGGGTGTCAAGGACACAGAATTACCGATGATGGTATGTCCAGGATCGTATCAAGTCGTGGAAGTACAAAAATGTCCTCTTTGGTCACGGCCTTGCGCTTATTATAGTTAAATCATAGGCGCATTGAGCCGTCCTGCTTCCCTACAAGCACTAACGGCAATAATGAGGGTGAATAGGACGACCGCATAATATTACGGCTAAGTATATTACTGATGAGTATTTCAAGTCCGTTCGACTGGAACATCGGAAGTCCTCCGGGAGGAACCGGACGAGGTCTTAGACTTCGCCGTCCAGGATGGCCAAGATGCGACTGAGCCTCAACTCCTCGAAGGTAGTCTTTAAATCACGCCTCCCATTGCCCGAGGCCGTCAAGTCCCGACAGTCCCTCTGGCAAGGGTTTGCATGATTGTGACGAGTCCAGCTTTTGAAGCTCTTTAACCAGTTTTCCCAGAAGGTTGTCAGACATGTCGGTCTCCGCTGCCTCCAATTTGTAAAGAGCCCGAACGAAAACAGGGAGGCTGTTGGTGTTTAGTTCAGCTTTCATTTGGGCAAAGTCACCGCGCCAAATGTTCCTTCTAACTCTGGTGACGGGTTCGGGTAGAGAAAAAATTGAGTACTCCCACAACAGTACGAGGTGGTCGCTTCGACCTAGGGGAGGTAGGCATTGCACCTCATCAATGCTGTCCAGTGACTTCGTAAGGAGCAGATGCAGACAGTTTGACCGTTGCCCTTCGCGCACCCTCGTCGGAAAAGAGACGTGCTGAGTGAGAAATAACCCGAGGGTCATGTCCAACAAACGTCGGTCGAAAGCATGGTCTGGACCAGATGCATAAGCTGAACTCCAGTCGATAAGAGGTGCGTTAAAGTCCTCCATGATTAAGACGTCGGACCGGATAGAGAATCTCTCCAGGTCCTCAATCAGACGGTCGTCCGCCGTGGGATCATTTCTCGGCGGTCGGTAAACCGCCAGGATGTCAATGCTCGGTGGACCCGGTACTTTTATAGTTAGCCAAATTGCCTCAGAAGTACACGTAAGTTTATCCGTTTTATCTGAGACTATGAGATCGTGTTTTACATACGTGAGTACGCCTCCGCCCTGACCTGTCTCTTCTAAACAGCTGGTATCCTGGTATAGTTAACTCACGGTTGTCCACCTGCTGGTTCAGCCACGTCCCTGTAAGTAAGATTTTATCCGGGGATAGATCAGGTAGACGGATCTTTAGCTCGTCGACTTTCGATAACATGCTCTGCACATTTGTATATAAAAATTTCAGTTTACGATCTATGGCTGTCAGAGAAGTAATTTCAATGCGTCTAGGACTTTTGGAATAGTAGGCGAAAGTCCTAGACGCATCGAAATTACTTCTCTGACAGCCATAAATCGCAAACTGAAATTTTTATATACAAATGTGCAGAGCATGTTATCGAAAGTTGACGAGCTAAAGATCGTTTACGGACGCCTCTGTACAACTGACCTATGCACAGAAAAGAAAATAAAGGGAGAACCTAGTTGGCGGGCTTTTGAATTCGAGCCGCCATTTTTTGTAGCTTTGCATTGTACATTACACATTACTGTGCCTATTTCCTTTCGATATATTGAACTGTTTTACATCCCTTGTTTGTCTGAGCTAAGATCATGAGGTCGTATCCACTGTAACGTCCCTTGATCTGAACAGGGTTGTTTGAGTGGTGTGACACTTCGGCGCGCGGACCTAGGATGGAGATGGCGTAGCCGGGTGTTGGTGAAGATGATCGGTGACCCTTCCTCTCACTTCCGCCGACCCCTTTCCCCGCATCGTATCGTGACGCTCGTTCCGTTCTCCTTCTCTCCACGTCGGCACCCCCCTCGGCCCCTCCCTGCAGTTGCCCACTGCGCTGCGTTCCCCACCGGTTTACTAGCTGGCATGTTGGTATCGCCTCTTCACCCAGACAGGTTACTCAACAGTTGTAACTGGTCCTGCTTGCCGATGTTTCTGTAAGGTACGGCTTTTTTCTTCGTCTGGTACTTCTTCTAAATAGAAATCGAGCATGTTTAACCAATCTCCAAAGTCTTCTTCGCCACCAATGCAGCGACCGAGGACGTCATGGGTAGCACACAACCACGTAGCGAAGTACCGGAAAAAGATTCTGGCTAACGCTGATCTGAACACCGTTGTTAGTATGTCACGATACTCATCCGTACATAAAAGAAGGTATAATGAACAGAAAAAGCAGTTGGAAAAGCGTATAATAATAGTTAAAGTACAAGCAGGACGAGTTACAACTGTTGAGTAACCTGTCTGGGTGAAGAGGCGATACCAACATGCCAGCTAGTAAACCGGTTGGGAACTCAGGGCTGTGGACAACTGAAGGGAGGGGCCGAGGGGAGTTCCTTCCCTCTGCAACCCTGAAAGAGAATTTACCGATTCCATACGAAAGCTACGCAAGAACAAGTCACAAGAACAACCCTGACTGAGCACAACGGAATTATTCTGCGCCCCAACTGGGACTATTTCGACGTGGTTACAATTTCACAGTGACCGTCTCTGGCATTGACACTGGAACCGTACGTGGAATTACTTTGTGCATTTTTGAAATATTTATTCACGGGTCAACTGTGTAGAAAGTTCTAGAGAGCCAGACCACGGGTCGCCATCTTGTAAAAGGTTCTGGAAAGCGCGCCTCTCACAAAAAGTATGCACATAATAAATTATTATAACCCTAAAATTAAGCAAAATAGCCCTGGTCTAAGCTTGTTTAACTTTCCACCCTCGACCTACCCTCAACCAATCAACAATGGCGCACTCAACCTTGTCGACTTCCACTCTAGAGAAGCTATAAATATGGGCGAGGATTAACCTCCGACAACCCCATGGCAGGCCGCCAACCTTCGGATGTGGGACCTCTGTCGCTGTCTTCGTCGGATCCCCGTGCCTTCCGCCAACCCCTCTTGGACAATCTCACCCTGCCCCAGTTTATTTGTGTAATTAGGTTTCCCCTCTTTAGTCTCCTATTGTACATAGGCGTTTAAGTACACAAAAGTTACCGAGGCCTTACTTTCCTGGGCCGTCTCTCGTACTGACATCTGGGCTCCTTACAAATTGGTGGCAGCGGTGACCACTGTGTCGGATAATCTCGTGGGCAAGCTAGTGAAGGAGCTTCAAAAGCTGGGCTTGCAACGGCCGTGCGCACCACTGCCGGAGAAACACTCGCGGGGTGCCGACTTGGGTCGGTGGGAGTCGAGGGTGATGGACTACCTGCACCTGTGTCGACACTCTGGCGTCCTGGCTCAATGCGGTGATTGAACGAGCGTGGAGAGAAGAGGTTGTCCCTGAAAACTGGGGCTTAAGAATCCTTGTACCTACCCTCAAGAAGGGAGATAAGACAAGATGCGAGAACTACCACGACATAAGTCTCATCGACGTTGCTGCGAAGATCTTCGCTATTGTCCTACTCAGGCCATTCCAGGCTGTGCGTGACTCAAGGACGAGGCCCAACTAAGCCGGATTTCGTGCTGGACGTGGATGCGCAGACCAGATATTTAAACTGAGGCGCATTCTCGAATTTCGCCATAGTTACCTGTAGGAAGTTCTAGAAGGCCCGACCACGTGCGTCCGCCATCTTGGAGAAGGTTTTAGAAAGCGCGCCCCTAAAGGGGCGCGCCCGCCGAACTTTTCCATATTTATACACCAGGTACTTAGTTGCAATTTGGCCTCTCACGAAAAGCATGCATATAATAAATTATTATAACGCTGAAATTAAGCAAGATAGCCCTGTCTAACTTTCCAACCTTGACCTACCCTCATCCAATCAACAATGGCGGACCCAACCTTGTCGACCCCCTCTCTGGAAAAGCTATAAATACGGGCGAGGATTAGCCCCCAACAACCCCCGTGGCCAGTCGCCGGTGGCCGGCCGGGCGAGGAACCCCTGTCGCTTTCTCCGCTGGATCCCAGTGTTCCAAGTCGCCCTGTGGACAATCCTCCCAGATTCAGCTTATTTTTGTAATTAGGACTCTTCCCTTAGTTTCTTTTTGTACATAGGTCGGTCAGTAAAATAGTGACTAGTCCGTCTTATCCTGTTGGGCCTCGTTGACTACTACTCGCGTTAGACGGGATCATTACAACATCGGGGACGCTACAATTTGGCGGCAGCGGTGACGACTATGTCGGACAACCTTGTTGGCAAATTAGTCAAGGAGCTACAGAAATTGGGTCTGCATCAGCCGTCTACGCCCTTGCCAGAGAAGCTGACGCGGGGTGCCGACTTCAGTCGATGGGAGGCACGGATGAAGGATTACCTGCGCGGGGTGGATACTTCGTCGCGAAGCGCAACCATCATGGGCCTGCTGGACAACGAAGTCTACGACCTCGCACGGTCAGCAGATATATCTGCTTCCATGCCGGCGACGAACATCCTGGATCGCCTTCGTGCAATTCTCGCGGCGTCTGTGCATCCGAGTTTCGGGGCCACGTCCAGCAGCCGGATGAACGAGTCCTCGACTGCTAGAAGGCCCTTAGTCTCCTGAGACGGAGGGCTTTTCTCACCAGGGATGCCACAGCCCTCAGTCCGCGGGTGCTGGAGCAGCTCGCCGATGGTGTCGGGAATCCTGAAATCCAGGAGGGCCTTGATGTTGGAGCAACCGGCTACCCTCGCGAAGCTCGTGACCTCGCGCGTCAAGAGGAGGCGCTCCAGGCCGTTTGCGATCGGCCAGCCCAACCTCTCCTTGGCATCGCTGCTGTCCAGCCGCAGACGATCCGCGACTGTGGTACTCAAAGGCCTTGGCGCCCCTGCTCCCGCGGCTCCTACTATCGCCCGGAGTAGGCAACTGCACCGTCGGGTCCCAGGACATCAGACTCGCCGCCCCGATCAGGCCATTGCACGAGGGTAATGACTGTAAAAGCTCCATTGCCGGAGCAAGTACGTTACATGGAAATCCATGCCCTATACCCCCTTCGCCGGCCAAAAATCACTCAAATGACGAAATGCCAACATCCGTCGCGAATACTACAGTAGCATTACATCGTCCTAGCGCGGATGGGACAGTAATGAGCTCTTGCATAAATCGTAAGCAAAATATTGTCATAAGGGGCGCCCCAGGGTCCCCGTCCTGCATTTCGAAGGAACGAGTGACGCGGGAACTAGACCTTCTTCATCAGTACGCCAGTGCCGTCCTGAAAGATGGGGAAACATTTACCGTTAAAATAGCTTTCCGACTAGGCAAAGCGGACCCATATCGTGACCTTAAAACATTCCCAAGACCCCTGAAAGTTATTTTGGAAAACGGAGTCCAAGCGGCGCTTCTGTTAGAAAGAAGAACGACCTTATGCAACTCGCACAAGGAAGGGTATTTTCAACCAGACTACGAACCGAGGGAAAGACCGAAAATGAGAGAACTGAGATCAGAATTGAAGGAGAGAATTGGCAGAGGAGAGAAAGGGCTGAAGATCAAAAATGGACAAATAGTTCAGACAAAGGGGTCTTTCCAGTGGTCAGAACCTGTCACAATGAAGGCAGGACCTTTCCAACGAAACAGTCATTGAAGGTTATCTCCGCAAATTTGCAAAGCCTCTTCAACAAACTAGACGAACTAAGAGACTTATTTGATGAAATTAAGCCAGACATTATGGCATTCACAGAAACATGGCTTCCTGAAGATATCGCAGACTCAAAAATATCAGCAATTCCGAGGAGGATGATTTATAATTTATGTCACTTGCAAGCTGATCGCTATGGCTGATGTACATAAACTGGTAGGGGATTTGGAACTGCTAAGCGTTACCATATCTGCTAAGAATGTCCGATCACTGACGCTTTCGGTGGTGTACCGCTCACCTAACCATACTTCTGACCAAGACCTCATGCTCGTATCTGAACTTAACAAAGTCAGTGGGAAGAAAGATGTCCTTATCGTTGGGTATTTTAACGCTCCTGGCATTTATTGGCTAAGATGGACTGCACAAGGGCCGCAAGACAGCTTTAATCACAAACTACTACAATGGGCCACGGACAAACTTCTCTGCCAGAATGTTACCTTTGGAACACGTGCCAGGGAAGGAAGGCAGTCGAACTGCCTTGGTCTCATTTTTACCCGAGAGGAGGAAAATGTGCTAGACCTGCAGGACCGACCGCCATTAGGGTCAAGCGACCACATCACGCTCAACTTCGAGTACTCATTGTTTTCCAAATCCTATCAACCCGATTGGTGTGAAACATTTGGAAAGGGGTGTAACGCCCCTGGACTTGAACAGTATTGTTTGAATGCCGTGATACTTTTGGCGCGAGGACCTAGGGTGGAGATGGCGTAATCGCGTGTCAGCGAAGATGACCGGTGTCCCTTCCTCTCGCATCCGCCGATCCCTTCCCCCTTTACCGTCCCGTACCGTAACGCTCGCCTCGCTCTCCGTCTCGCAACATCGGCACCTCCCTCGGCCCTCCCCTGCAGTTGCCCACAGCGCTGCGCTCCCCACCGGTTATTTAGCTGGCATGTCGGCATCGCCTCTTCACCCAGACAGGTTATCTGATGGCTGTAACTCAATCCAACTGTACGAGTAACTATTATTATTATACGTATCTCTCATGACCGTCTTGTTGTACTTTACTGTATTCCGTTCCTGACGTGCCCTCTTCTGCTGCGTGTGAATGAGTATTCAGATCTGACCAGGGATCCGACCTTGAGTGTTTGAATGAACTGGACTTTTTCTTTCCTTCTGCATTGCAGGGTCTTCCCTCCCGAAACCGCGTACCAACGAATAACCGTCGACCCCACCCGATAAGTCGTTCCATCGTATTTTTATATTCTTCCATAGCCTCGTTTATTAGATTTCTGTTTCTGTATATCTGAATAAACCTATATCCGCGTTGACTAAATTATGTCCCGGACGCCTGTTCATCCTACTACTGTATATTCTGAAGTACAATGCCTTTTAGACCGGATTTTCCAATCTGCCGGACCATCTGAGTTCAAGCTGCCCTTCGGCCCCTTCTTTCATTACTCATGACCCGACGTCTACTGCTCGCTCGGTCGCTACAATGGTGGCAGCGGGTACCCCACCCGCCCCTCCCTCCGATGTCCCAGTTACCCACGCACCACTCCCCAACCCCACGGTCGAGTGCGCGAATAACCTAGGTCCCGGCCCCTTACTAGCCCCTGAGCCGTACGTTCCAGAGAGCGCCATACGCGATTGGCTCCGAGACCTGGAACTCTTTTTGTTCACGGTCCCCATTAATCAACGCACATGTTATCTGATACGGTTCCTTTCCACCCCCGCCCATAAGCGTGCTTTCGACGCTGGCATCGACCACACGACACCGTTCGACGTAGCACGTCGGACTGTTTTACAGCTTTTCCACACACCGTCCTCCACAGGAATGGCTGCTGAACGATTTGCCACTCTAAGACAGGCGCATGACCAGTCGGTCGATGACTTCGCCAACCAGCTGTCCCACCTCGCCCTATCGGCGTTCCCCAACCTCCCCCCACCAGACCGCGACACCCTTATCCTACACCGTTTTATTACCGGCCTCAGCGATTCGAACGCTACAGATATCCTTCTTCTTCATCCCCCTCCCAGCTTAACTGCTGCGATACAACAGTGCCGCCTGTACACGGCTAACCATCAAGAACGTAAACCCAACCCAGTGCCTCATACCGTTACCCCTCGCCCAGAGTCACGTCCACCCACCCGGAAGGCGCATCTCCCCGTACGGTTCCCGCATCATAATCCGGGCTGTGAATACTGCGCAGCGTTCGGCCCCGATGCCCGCCACTGCGGCCATAATCCCCCCCGTAAGTCGTCTCCCAATGACTTTATTTCCTTTTCGGATACCTCTTGCACCCACACGTTTACAGTTAATGTTTTACTCAACGACCATACGTTACCAGCCCTAGTTGACACTGGTGCTAATGCCTCCCTTATCAATGTTCATAGTTTACCTCAAGAGTACCTTAGACTCATAGAACCGCCACCGAAAATCCCCAATTTACGAGCCGCTAACGGGACTGGTATTCCTGTTGCCGGTAGCATCACTCTCCAATTCGTCATCAACGATTCTACCCTGACTTATCATTTCCTAGTGACTCCTGTTAGCCCCTGGCCCATCGTTCTAGGACTTGATTTCCTTACCGATAACGACTGCACTATTTATACCCGGCATAGACGCCTAGTGATAGGCTACCCCACCTCCCCGACTGTAACACCAAGCCCGTCAGACGATCTCGACCTCGCATATAACGCCGTCCTCTCAGCTGCAGCCCTAGAGCCTACCCGTTTGAGCGATGTCCTACCTACCCTTTCAACAGTCGGCCCCGTCGCCCATAAGCAAAAAAGCGACCTACTCGCTTCGTTTCCCGACCTGTTCTCCTGGTCCACAGACACGCTCGGCCGTACACGACTGGTACAACACACCATCGACACGGGCGACGCCAAACCCCCCTTGCAACCCCCTCGACGTATACCTGTTCGTTACCGTGACGAGGTCGACAAGCTTCTAGACGAGCTGTTACGGGCCAAGATTATCCAACCATCCTCCTCCCCTTGGGCTTCGCCCATTGCACTAGTTCCCAAGAAGGATGGTTCCCTACGCCTGTGTGTTGACTACCGCCGCTTAAATGCAGTAACAGTAAGAGATTCATTTCCGTTGCCGCGGCTAGACGATACACTAGATGCGCTAGGCCAGGCTGCCTGGTTCTCAACCCTTGATCTCAAGTCAGGGTACTGGCAGGTGGAAATCCACACCAACGACCGCCACAAGACGGCCTTCACTGTCCCCCAGGGTTTATTTGAGTTCCAAACGCTCCCGTTCGGCCTATGCAACGCAGCAGCCACCTTCCAACGGTTAATGTACCGTGTACTCCGCCACCTCATCCCCTATAAATGCCTCGTCTATCTCGACGACATCATTGTATTTGGGCGTTCCACAGAAGAGCACAATTCAAACTTACGGGAGGTTATGGAGGCGCTCCAGGAAGCTGGCCTTACTCTCAACCCCAATAAATGTCTTTTCCTCCGCTCCGAGGTTCAGTTCCTCGGCCACCTTATTTTCCCCGGCCGTATCTCCCCACTGCCAGACCGGATTAAACACATACGTACGTGGCCGACCCCGACCAACCAAACGGAGCTGCGGAGTTTCCTGGGCCTCGCGTCGTACTACCGACGTTTCATCCGGGATTTTGCCCAAATCGCCGCCCCCCTGCACAAGCTAACCGAGAAAGGTCGCCCTTATACGTGGTCCGCCGACTGCGACACCGCCTTCAACAACCTACGTGCGGCATTATCCTCGGCACCACTCCTAACCCTCCCAAACGTCGACGACGACGCTCCACCGTTCATCCTAGATACGGATGCAAGTGGGTTCGCCATTGGGACTGTCTTGTCCCAAGTCGGTAAGGACGGCGTAGAACACCCTATTTGTTTCGCCAGCAACACACTGACCAAAACTCAGCGTAACTACTGCGCCTTCAGACGAGAACTGTTGGCGATCATTACGTTCATTCGCCAGTTTAAACACCTCCTTGTCGGCCGACGGTTTATCCTACGTACAGTCCATCGCGCCTTAGAATGGCTACGCGCCATCAAGGACCCGATGGACCAGCTAGCCCGTTAGCAGGAGTTTCTACAGGATTTCGACTTTGAGTGCCAGTTCCGTCCGGGACACAAACATGGTAATGCGGACGCACTGTCACGCCTTCCTAACACAGCCAACCTGGCAGGCGAACCTCACGACGCGGCCGTTAACGCTGTTATTGTTGCCGAACCAACCCGTTACGCCTGGTCGTCAGCCCAGAGCTCTGACCCTGATACAGCAGTCATTTACTACCATTTGACCCAAGGGCTGTCTAAACACAGCGAACAAGCGATGAGCGGAAAGAGCCAGAACGCACGTTTGCTGTTGAACCAATGGCCCCATCTAGTCGTCCTACACGATATCTTATTCTTCCGCGATCCCTCATCCCACCATCTACGTCCAGTGGTTTCTCTCATGAGGTGGGAAGCGGCAGTTGTATCATTGGAGACTGAACCGCATGGTCGGGCAAACGACAACTGGAATACTTTCAATTCCTTACTGAAAGAGCTTGTTTATTCCAACTGCCCGCTTAGAAGAAAGACAATCACAAACCGCCCAAAATGGATAAACTCAGACTTAAAGGACTCTTTCAGTAAAAGGAATAGTCTGTGGAGGCGTTACAGATTAATCGGCTTGGAAGAACACTTACAGGAATAAAAGCAGCAACGAAAAGTTTGTACAAGTGAGGCCTCAAAGCTGCGAAGGAAGTTTGAACTGAACATCGAAATTCGCTGGAGCATCCGAAAATTCTATATGGTTATAAACGAAGTTCTAAAAGAACTCATGAGCTAATCCATGCCCTTAAATCGGCAGATGGAAAAGTGGAAATTGATTACCAGGTTTAAGCGTCCCTCCTTTCTAAATTCTTTCAGTCCCTCTTCACCCGAGAACCTAGTTTTATATTTGCCCATCCATCCGTTCGCCAACCAACCTCTCCTCATAGAAGCCATCACCTTACCTACCCTACCTAACCGAGGAACCACTCTTTTCATCGACCACAGTTAGGGCCGAGCTACTCCGGCTGAAACCTGCCAAACCGCCTGGCCCAGATAGAATTCCCGCACTAGCACTTCGTGAACTTGCTAATGAACTGTGCAAACCGTTATCCGCAATATTTCAAGTCATTTGAAGACGGCGAGCTCCCGGAAGAATGGAAGTGCGCACTCATTACTCCGATCCATAATGGGAGCCTCAAGACTTACTTGCATCGCGTGTAAAATAATGGAACGCATTATCAAAAGACACTTCCCTCCCAACACATGGCCTCGGGGGCCAGGCCCCATCCAAATTTCCATCCCTTCTAATCACGACATTCTGCATTATTTTAGACTGTTTTAGCCTTATTATCGTTAAATATAAGCTTTTTAACTTGTATAATGCGTCTTCAGAGAAATTCATGTTTCACAAAGGCAAATATTGGCCTTGTTTAAGTCGGTCATGTACATACCCACGTGGACGGCACTTTTACGCTGTGTGCACGCGTGATCCATACAGCTGACCGACTCCTACTTCTTACTTGGCTCGTTTTGACTGCAGTACGTTATCCATTTACTTATTTATTTCTTCTATGCGATGCAATATGTCATTGTAATAAGTAAATGTTTACTTATAGTCTCAAGAATCGTAATTTAAGTTATTTATAATAACGGCACGTAATCTGACTGCTTGAGTGTAGTATATGGCGGTGTAATATGTGTTAATGTTATTTATATTTTAATTCTAAGCAAATATGGAAAGGAAATACCGGGGGAAATCATCGCAGTACAATGCATAGCATGACTAAGCGGGCGAAGATGGCGTACTATGCCGCCACCGATGACCCCTCGCTCCCGTCTACGTCATCTCTCGTAACGGAGCCGTCACCCGAACCATCGATGCCGCACCTTAGCCCTGAAGTTAGCATTGGTAGGTGTTATATGGTATGTTATAAAACGATGTAGACGACGACCAGGTTGCAGATGAAAGCTCGAACCCGTTCAGTGGCAATTGCTTCCTGACAGATTTGAGGGAATTCTGCTTAAGTGTCCAACTACCGCAGGCAGTATTCAAGTTGTTGTTCCAAATGTTGCGGCAATACCACCCAGAGGTGCCCAAGGACCCGCGAACTCTCATGCAGACACCGCGAGCATGCGTTAAGGAGTCCATCTCTAACGGCAGCTACGTCCACCTGGGCCTTAAACGCGGTCTGTTAGATGAGCTGCAACTTCGACCGTCGGCTTTGTTACCGAAAATACGGGTTTAACTCCACATTGACGGAATGAAGCTGTATAAAGGGTCTGGCCAGTGTCTATGGCCAATCCTCGGTCTAGTCAACTATCCTGTCCGTGGACTGCCGTTTGGTGTTGGAGTGTTCTCTGGTTCCGGCAAGCCTGAGCCTTTGGATGTATTTCTTGGCCAGTGCATCTCAGAACTGAAGGATATTCTGACCAGCGGACTTCAGATCCCGGATACGGATGCCGTAGTTAGTGTTGAGCTCGCCAACGTCATCTGCGACATGCCTGCCGGGTCCAACGTCCGGCAAGTAAAAGCGCATAATGGCTATTACGGCTGCGACAGGTAATTGACAAAATAGACGAAAATGTAATCCTCCTAGGTGTTGTCATATGGGAAGGTCCGTGGCAAACCGCATGACGTTCCCCGTACACAGCGGGCGTCTGCGGGATGACAGGTCATTCCGCACGAGAAGTCAGGAGCAGCACCATAAAGGCACCTCACCTTTCGAGGATTTGCCAATTGATATGGTTGCTACGTTTCCAATTGACTACATGCAGCTCGTTCGTCTTGGTGTCATGCGGAAGCTCCTACATATGTGGCGGCTCGCAACGGGGAAGCAGTCGATTACTATTAATGCGTCCATTAAACAATGCAGTCAATGTCTGCCTGCTGAATTTTCCCGCAAGTGCAGACCTCTTGACTGTCTTGAATACTGGAATACAGTTCCTACTGTACATCGGTCCTGTAGTCCTAGCTAACCATCTTGATTCCTCCCTTTATGAACATTTCCTTCTTTTGTTTGTTGCCGTTTTTATTTTTTCCCATCCCATTTTGCATAAATCCCTCATTGATTTTGGACGTCTGCTATTAGATAAATTTGTTTCTGATTTCCCAATATCGTACAGTCCTGCAGATCTTGTTTATAATGTTCATAGTTTAGTCCACCTCCATGAGGACGTTAGTCGTTTTGGAGTTTTGGACAATTTTTCTGCCTTCCCTTTCGAATCTTTTTTACAAACCCTTCGCGGTGCCATCAAGGGTCCCAGTAATGTAGCCGCACAGGTGTACAAACGTTATTCTGAGCGACGTTTGCCTGAGTTGCCAACTAGCTCACTGCTGTTGGACGACGATGAGGGGGTACGACCACGGTCGTTTCAGTTGCCGCGCAGGTCGACCGCTATTCTTCACAATGGCTACGTACTGTCCACTGAGGCGCCTGATAACGTCGTGCTTATTGGAGAGCGACCGCGTGTACTGACATCTGTGTCGGATTCCGAAATAACATACCGCCCCTTCGAGGACTGCGTGGACCTTTTTACCACCTCTGTTTCATCTTCCCGTTTGTTTATTTTTAAAGCCTCCCGTTTTTCCAGTAGCACCAACACTGCCTCCCTTACTGACATTACTTGTAAATATGTTTCTTTCAATGTTGACGATTTGTTTTACTTAATTCCCCTGTTGCACACCTTCGATCTACAATGACTTAATTTCAACGTCCACCCCCCATCAACCAAACCTCTCTGCAGATGTATTCAGTTGTCCAATTTGTATGCGATGAATCATTGGCCGTTGTTGCCAACTCGTGGTTGCTTGGGGATGACTTAGTTGCCTGGCCAAAGTACCGGGAATTGCAGCGTCTGTTGGAGGCCAATCGACGGCCAACCGACGGCGCAAAGCTGTATGAAGTTAAAGTACTCAAGGGCGGAACCGATCTTGATAAGGGGCGCCGGTTAGCCAAAAAGGCCGAAGATACGGACCACCTATCATCGTCAGAGCCGGAAACATTAGGAAGAGGCATGCGGACAAAGTACGTTGCTTATTTTTTCATACATATCCCCGAAGACTGACTTCCGATTCGGAAGACGACGATGAACTGCAGGAGATACGCAAGCACACAGACCGACGCTTAGGCCAGTGGCCCGTACCTCCAGCTGTACTCCGGTAGGTCTCATTGGCTTAAACGAACTTCAGGCCAACAAACGATAATGTGCCGGGTACCTCCTATTCTCTACGAAGACAGGTTGCCAGACGGGGAGAACTTAGCGCCTCAAAAACAACACTTGCTGCAAGAAATCAAACAAGAGTTGGCATGTAACAGGTAAACCGAATCAAAACCTTTAATATTATATAGGAAAAAACTGGACTTCCTTTCAGAGGAAATGCTCTGGGTGAAGACCAATATACAAGACATCAAGGCCATGCTAGCCGACAATCGACGAGCGTTGCAAGCAGTGAGCTTTGTTTCGAAAGAGAAGCCGCCCCTTCTCCAGCTGCCTCTGTAGACTGCGGAAGCGTACAAAGACTTCCTTACGAAAATCGGATTGGACAATGAGATAGCGCAGGAAACGGTATGTAAACAAGCTTAGACACTCTATACTGCTTATAGGTAAAGCATTTGTCCACCGTTGGAGGACGGACTGAAAAGGAGTTCATATGTAATCTCCTGACAGCCCTTTTAGGACCTCCCCTCTGCCAAAGTTTCTTTTGGGCTGGTTCCAACGACAAGAAGTCCTTCGTGGGGAGACCTCTGTTCAGCGTCCTACGTGGTCTGTTTATTATGTTTTTTTAACGCCTGCAGATGCAATACGCTGCAATGAGCAGTACCGTAGCTGCCATTCCGAAGTAATTCGGCAAACAGCTATTGAATGGTTCCACGGAACCCGAGACCGATACGGAGGGCGAGCCAAACGGCGCCGAACTGCTGATATGGTACATATTTTTCTAACAAGTTATTACAACACACTGAATTAGGGTTCGCTTGAAAATTCAGCGAGCAGCTTTGACCTTTCGCAAACAATATCGGAAGACAGTGAGTAACTTAATATTTCCTATGTAGCCGGCCATGCTATGACTTTCAGTATAATTTTTACTTACCTCTATTTAATAGTAGTAGGATACTTTTTACTGATATACTTTCAAATTAATTAATACTGATTTAAATTTATATCATTATTTTCTGGCATTATTTTGGCTGAAATACACGATAAAAACATTTACAGCGGACATAAATGACTAGTTAACCAAAAAGATGGCTAATTATTCCTTTAGTCCCCTCTAAATGTTTTTATTAAGTATTTACGACATAATAATCCATCCGGCATTTTTTTTTCATTCCATAAGTTAATTAACTGAAATTTTCATTTAAGTTGCCCTAAGTAAATATAAAGTTACTTAGGGCAACTTAAATGATGCACCACGCATGCCGTTTAGTAAAACAAAATTAATACCAAATTTGCTAGTAAGACGAATTATTTATTTACTAATGTTTCTTTTTTTTATAGGAGCCTGCCGTGGATGAAAACTTCAGTCAACACAATAATGCCGTTTAATTGACTGACCAGAACATATTCGTATCTCATATGCCCCTTGTACATACTCCTCCGCCACTTTTTTTTATTTAATATGTTCTATAAACTACCACATGCCAATATTTGCTGTCCATTGACTTTGTTCATGTAGACCTCGGGACATGTTTGAGTTATCGGCACCATCACTATATTTAGAGGGTGGGTAATACTTAGTCCATGAGGACTTTGACTGCATACAATTTTGAGCCATCGGTTGGCCTCCAACAGACGCTGTATTTCTCGGTCCTTTGGCCAGGCAACTAACATATCTCCAATAAACCATGTTTTCGGAACAACGGCCACTAATTCATCGGAGACAAATTGAACTACTGAATATAT